CCAAACGACCTTCCCCAACCAACTACGTTGTCCCTCCAGCAGCCTCGCTGGGGTCCCGGACGCTTAAGGTACGACCCACCTCCACGCAGCGAGAGAGAGAGAGAGGATTCCCTGGAGGAAGGAGCAGGAGAAGGTGATGTATCTTGCTGTCTCTGAAGGATGAGAGTAAGGAATGGATGGGACTAAAAACACCTCAACACAGTGTCCTCCAGACCCAGAGAGCCCCACATCCTTCACCCCCAGTGAGAGGGAGGGAAACTCTGGTGTTCAGGAGGTGCCTCTAGCTTCTGACTCCACTGCAAGACGGTCGCATGATCTCCTCTAACTATTGTAACACCATTTTCCTCTTTTTACAGGTCCAGAAATTGTCCTGAGATTTTTGGTGACCCTCCCCAAGGTCACATAGTTAAGAAGAGGCAGGAATCCCCTCACCCTAGGCAGCAGAGCAGTTTGAAGAGGGTAGGGAAGCACTGCTTCACTGAAAACCCACCTCGAGCCCAAAGATGCCCCTGCCCGTGTCCTTCTGGCTGCCTGGCCTCTCCTGGCCTCCCCTAAGCACCGGTCACTCTCTTTCTCTTCAGGCTTATTATGCTCCAGGCTCCATTTCCTCTACAACTTCACAGAACAGCCCAGTTTCTAAGTGGAAAAGGACCCTGGGGACTGGCTGATTCAAGCCCCTCATTCAGCTGCCAGAATACTGAGCCCCAGTGGCTTGGCCAGGATCACCCTGCAGGTCAGAGACCCAGCCAGGACCACACTGGCTTCTGAGCGGCTTCTCACCCTTCCATGCTGCCTCCCTGGAGATTGACCTTCTCGTCCTGAACCCAACTATCCTGTAGACTTCTGCATGATGTGGGACCCTGCTACCCAAACTGTTGTTTGGTTTCCAAGCCTGTCCTCCATAGCAACCCTACAATTTACCTTTGCCTGTCCAAAGCCCAGGCCACCCATCATCTCTGCAATCAAAGGACTGGGATTTGCATTTTTGTGCTGCCCTCTAGTGGCAGGCTTCAGGAACAGCCCAGAAGAGGTCTCAGGCCTTAGGCAGAAGTCAGGGACAATTTTAGGGACAAGAGTGGACATACTTCCTGAATGTTTACTATGTACTGGGCACAGGAAGAGGTAGTTTATATTCATTATTATTTAATCTTCCCAGATGGTAGTATCTTTTATAGACAAAAAACTGAGTCTTAGGGATTAAAAAAGAAGACAAAAAATCTTGCTCAAGATAACAAAGCTATGAGAATTGGCAAAGCTGGTTTTCAAACCCATGTTTGCATAGCTTGAAAGCCAAAGATGAGCATAGTTACAGGGTGGTGCTGAGTTTGGGGGAGGATGAGCGACAGCAGGCTACCATGACTACTGGGCTGAGGACCACAGACATGGTCAAGGAGTTATGGCTTCATGTTGTTTAGTGGGGATTAAAGCCAGCAATGTTTTTTTGTCTTCCAGAAACTCGAGTAAGTTCTGCCTGCTGCAGGCTCCCTCTCCTCCCTAAGGTTTGGTGATAGCTCACAGGTATATTATTAATCTTTGTGAAGCAGATCATAAATTTGCAGCACAAGGCCCAGTCCAGCCCATAAACATGTTTTGTTTGGCCGGTATGGTGTTGCCAGTATAGTATTTTCTTAAATTCTAAGTTATGTGTCAGTGTTTGAAAAGTAGGAGATTTCACATAAAAGCTCAGCTTCTTTTAAGGAAAAGTCAGAAGATCAGACAACATTGGGCTCACACTCGAACTCCATGATGCTTGGCTGGAGCTGAAAAGCCACTGCCCCCATTCAATGGGATGAATGTGAGTCCAGATCATGCAGTCCCCGCAGAGCCTACTCTCCTAAGATTACTTGCAGGAGTTTGCAACCCCTACTTTATAGACGTGAATTCACCTGACCCTGAAACAACATATGCATGAAGCATGGAAGGTGGGTATTCTTCTTAAACCCATTTACAAATGGTGGCTCTGAAGTTCAGAGAGGTAAATGACTAGCAAAAGATCCCATGGCCAGTGTCTTTTGATTCTATACTGCACCCCCTCCACACACACACATAATCTGCTTCTGCTCTCACCACTAACTCTTCCTGAAAGTAGGAGATCAGCTCCTCCAGCCCTGGCCCCAGGAAGGATGCCCTCACCCTCTCCTCTTACTTAGATGCCACCAAAACAGCCTCTGGTCTCTCCATCCTCAGGTTGGAGTGGTTCTGCAGACTCCAGCAAAGGAGAGCAAAGCTCAACGGGAAGAAGATGCAGCCCAGCACAAAGAGCAGGGTCATGCCTGTCTGCGGTAGAGAAGGTGAGAAAAGATGGCTGTGAGAACACCTCAGCACAGTGCCCCTCAGACTCAGAGCCCCCTCTTCACCCCAATAACTCAGTGGCTTATGGGATCCATCTATCTGTAACCGTCAAAAAAGCCACCAGGTGTAGCTCTTTCCCAATCTTTTAGGGATCCTTACTGCACTTTAAATAGCCCTCATCCAGGGCAATTAGACACCCTAATTTTTCGTTATCAATCCAATCCCAACAATTTTATTCATTTTCCCTGTAATCCCTGAAGCTGGTCTACACCTCCCAGTCCATCTCACACCTTAAAACTCCTTCTCTTTCAACTGTAATTATGTGTCTGCTCTTAACTCACCTTATCCCATCCTCTGTCCCCCCCACCCCAAGCTCTTCCGGTCACATCTCCCCTCCCCTAGGTCCTCACCTCTGAGGGGCAAGGTGGAGGCTACGCAGGGAGGCTGGTGATTCTCATCAGCACCCAGAACTCAGAAAAGGGGGGAGGGGGCAGGTGTTCAAATTGCAAAGATAATTGAAGTTTTAAAAATAATGTTTCTTTAAAAAGAAAAATCAAAGCATTATCCCACTAAAAAAAGAAAACAAACAATAGGAGAACCGATGGAAACATAAATATTTACATATATGCTATTTTTGTCTGGAAAAGCCTCCCCTCCTGTCCACTCCAGGGAGGAGAAAGGTGGGGAAGGGCCAGGAGGGACTTGGAGGGGTCAGGGGTTGCCATCCTGCATCCCTTAAGCAGTTTTAAGGGGATCTTCTTAGTGTATAAGAAAGGTGTCAAACTGCAAGGGCACGAGGCCGATGCAGCTTTGCGGAGGCAGTTAGAGTGGGTGGGAACATCACCCTCCCATTGGTGGATTGGCTGACGGTTTGGAATATGCCATCTTCCCATTGGTCCACTTCTTGACCCATGTGCCCTATCATATGCTTCCTGGCGGAGGGGCCTGCTTGGTGGAAGGGGAGTTGCAGAGGGGAAACCTAATTCAGAATTGACCAATGAGAATTCGTTGATGGTTTGATGGGCAGCTATAATTCAGGGGTAGAGCTGAAAGAGGGGAAAGGAAGAGGAGGTGGGGGAAGTAAGAGCAGCCTAAACAGTCATTGCTTTAGAGGGTGGTATAGGGTAGTAGTTAAGACGGCAGTTTCTAGGGAGGAACCATCTGGGCTTCAAATTCAGACTCCGTGGATAATTTTAAAAACCATACGGTATGGCTCCATTTGGATGGAATTCAAAACAGGCAAAATATCTTTGGTGAAAAATCAGAACAGCTTTTAGTTTGGAGGACTTAGTGATTGAGAGGAGGCTCCAGAGAGCCTTCTTAGGGGTTGAGAATGCTCTTACAGAGATCATGAGTGTTTGCATATGTAAATGTTCTCAAGACATACTCTTAAAATTTGTGCACTTTATTCAAACTCACCTGGAATTTTTACAATGCTAAACAAATTTAGGCTCTTCCATTCCCTGAATGATGATGGGCCAGTCTCTGTGGGCCTCAAGTCTTCATCTGTGAAGTTGAGATAGTAATAATGCCAGCTCATTAAATGCTAATTATATAGCATTAACTATAGGCCAGACACTGATCTGAGTGCTTAAAAATACCGTCATTTCCTTAAAACAACTTTGTGAGTGGGAATTATTATTGTACCCATTTTACAGACGGGAAAACAGAGGCATGGAGAGGTTTGGAACCTTGCCCAAATTTACATAGTCAGGAAGTTAATGAGGCAGGATTTTTTCAATAATTTTCTGAACATACCATTCTCTTTAATGTTATCAGATACAGAAAACTCATAAGCTTACTTTCCTAAAGGAACTGAAAGATGAAAACAAAAAGAAACAAAAGATCATTGAATATAATTTAGACACATCAGCCACATTTTCAGAGCTTATCTCTGCTAACAGTTCTTACTTCTTTAGCTAATCCATTTCCCCCTTCTGGAGACGCCTTTGAAAATTAAATTAAAGGTTAAACCAAGAGCAAGATAAGACTGTTGAAGATGAGACCTCTGCTGGCCTAACCCATATCCATTCTTACCGCCTTCCTTGTTTTGTTGGGGACTGAAATATGCCTATTTAAAAAACTGTATTTCCCAGCCTCCCTGGTAGTTAGAGGTCTGGCCAATATGATGTAAGCTAAAGTCATTCTGTGCAGTTATGAGGAAAGATGTTTTAAAAGGGAGGCTATGTGGTCACAAAGAATTATAGATGGCCCTTAAACATGTGAAAAGAGCTTCTTATATTATCATACATAGTTTAAAAATTGTTTAAAAACCAAACATGTGAAAAGCTACTGAACTGTTTGAAACCATGCAGCTGGACTTAGCTTCTGCCTTGTTACCTTCCTTACTCCTGTGTAAGCTCATTTTGAGGATTAAATAGAGTTAACATGTATAAACAACTTCACACAGGGTTCATGGCCTGTTAGCCAGTATTATTATGAGCACTGGCAGCACTAAGATACTGATACACTTTCTAGACATCCTCTAACTTAAGCATCGCTACAATCTTACAAATCATCTCACCATTTTATAGCTGGGAAAACTGAGGCTTGGAGGAGTTAGATGACTCACCCTGGGATTGCACAGTAAATGGCAGAGCTAGGACTCAGACTCAGATCATCATGACTGCTGCCTTCCAAGTTGGGAGCAGTGAGGAGAGGAGGAAAAGGGAGGCAGAGGAAGGAAAGAAGGAGGGGAGGCAGCAAAGTGGGAGTGATTTTCTCCTCTGGTGCTGAAGGCCAGTGATTTTTCCTGTGTAGCTGTGGCTTACCCTGGAAAATGGAATAAGGAAGGGAAGAGTCCTGGGCTGTGAGCTGGTAAGAGTCAGACCCTAGTTTCATTGGATGCAGGACACTGTCTTCCACATTTCTTTCTTTCCTTATCAAGTTCTTCCTATTCAGAGTAAAACAGTGCAAGAATGCACGGGCTTGTCTGAGAGATAAATAATGAGGGGAGAAAAAGAAAAATAGTCGTTTAGAGCAATGACTTGCACCATTTTTTTTACAATGACCCACAAGAGACCTTGCCAAACTGAACCTGAACTTTCTCACAATACTTACTGATTCTTATTATGTGCAGTGCACACTGTACTATATCACTTTTTCCTCTTCATTTTTTTCCTCCGAAAATGCTGGTTATGACCTATTAAGCTGATTTCACAACACATTTATGAGTAACAACCCAAGTTGGAAAAATCTTGGTTAAGAGCAGTATTTCTCAACTTCTTTTCCCATATTGCTCCCTGAGACTTTTTCAGACATTTTGTTTCCTAATCACCACTCCTCATGAACTTTTGATAACACAAATATACTGTGTATCTGTGCTATATATACCTAAAAGAGTAAGATTGCTTTTTTTGCCCCCAAAAAACCAATTTCTGCCTTCGTGGGGGTGATATTACCCCTGTTGAAAATGCGTTGGAGACATCATACCAACTCATTTTTTGAGCCACCTTTAAACACAGCATCCCAACATCCAGTGAAATAGTATTAGTCCCATTCTGCAGATGAATTAACTGAGGCTGAGAGGTTATATTAATTAGTGAAGATTGAAATGGCTGGTAAATGGATTGGAAATACAGAGATCTGCCCAGATCCTAGCTCAGCTGCTTAATTTCTTCTCCAAAGTTTTGTCTCCTCATGTGGAAAGTGGTGGGATTGGGCCCAAGAAGTGTTCTCTAAACCTCAGGGGTTTTTTGCCCATTTGACCTAATAATAGCAAACATTTATACAGCATATACTAGATGTCAGGTACCAGTCCATGCCCTTTGCATACATTAATTCATGCAATCCTCACAATAACCTAAGAAGAGGATGCCATTATTATTATTTTCTCTTTCCAGATGAGGGAATTGAGGCACAGAGAGGTTGTGTGACTTGCCCAAGGTCGTACAGGTAGGAAATGGCATGGCACAGCTAGGATTTGAACCTAGTAGTCTGATTTCCAGAGTACCTGCTTTTAATTATATACTTTATAGTTCATTTAGTTTTAAATTTTTTTGGCGGGGGTGGGGGGAAGTAATTAGGTTATTTATTTATCTTTAGAGGAGGTACTGTGGATTGAACCCAGGTCCTCCTGCATGCTAAGCATGCGCTCTACCACTTGAGCTATACCCTCCCCGCCTTCAACAGTGTTCTTTAAAAGGAAACTTTTTATCACTACAGAAAATAGAAAATCAGTATTACTTGTAAATAGAAGGTAACAAAAAATAAAGTGAAAAAACTTGTTCTAAAGTTCTGCCTAGATATTATCACAAGCTCGGAATTCTGAGCTGGAGGCCTTCTCTCTCTTTGTTAGAGAAAAGACAAGATAAGCACGGATAGAGAGGTGTTAAAGGGCTTCTGGCAGCAAAATGAGACTTTGTCCTGGAATAATCAGAAGTGTTGAAAGGAAATTGGAAAGAGAATGGCTTTCGGGTGTGTGTGTGTGTGTGTGCGCGCGCTGTCTTGCTGATGGGTGTACCATCTAAAATAAATCCAAGATGGGATGCATTCCACACACCGGGGTCCCTTGTCTGGGCGTTCTGGGAGTGTCTGAACAACCTGCCGGAGGAAGGGAGCCAGCGCCAGCCATCTCTGGGTGGGGGGTGCCAGCCCGCCCCCCCCCCCCCCCCCGGCGCTACACAGCCCCAGGAAGGCAGCCCGCAGCACCCGCGTGGAGAGGGGCAGCGCGGGGGTGGTGCTGCCCCAGGGCCCGTCCAGGCTCCCACGGCAACTTCAGCTGCAGCTTTCCCTCTCCAGCCAGGCTCCCCAGGTGAGTCTCTCTCTCACCCCCAAGTGAACACAGTCACCCTGAGCCTGGAGTTTACCGTTTCCTGCTATTTCAGCCTCCTCAAGTCCAAATGCTGTCTTGAGCATCTTCTTTACCCGGGTGCCTCCGCCGCCTCGGCCCTGCGGGGGTGTGCAAGTGTGAGATCATCGAAGGCTGTGAATAAGTAAACAATAAACAGCCAGAAGAGGCCTGCTTCCCACATGATACCCAGGGAAGGGTCCAATTCCTCCTCCCAGTGCTCTGGGGAGTGCCCTGGCCAGCTCAACAACTCATTTATTATGTAGTACTTTTACTGTACCCGTCCCAACTTAGGTCCTGTTCTAAGCAAGCCCGGTCCACCCTTTATCTGTAACAAAAGAGGCTGAGGGGCACAACAGGTGAGCTAGAACGAGAAAACTAAGCATCCAGCCCCGTTTTTCTCCCATAGGTTGGCTGTGTGATCTTGGGCAAGTGTCAGAACCTCTCTGAGCTTCAGCTGTATACACACAAAGTCCCTTTGCTTGGACTCAAATCTTAGTTCTGTCACTCACTAGCCAGGAGAACTTGTGCAAGTGATTTAACTCCTCTGAGCCTTCGGCTTTTTATCTATAAAATGGGGACAAGAGCAGTCTCTCTACATAGGGCTGTGGGACGAATGAATATTCCTATGTGGCACGTTGTAAATATTGTGATAGTTATTAATATTTCTTGTTGTTATATTTTTAATGATCCCTGTTCTGTGCCAGGTGCTCTACATACATGTTCTTTAATCATCACAATAGGCCCTTGCCAATCTCTTATGTAATCCCCACTTTCCAGATGAAGAAGACTGAGGCTCAGGGAGGTCAATGAACTTGCCCATGGTCACACTGACACTCAGTGGCAGAACTAGAGTTCAAACCTAAATCTTGCCTGGTTCTAAAATTCCTTTTCAACTGGATCATAATTCTTTCCCACCTGTAAAGTGGAAATGATGGTTTCTGCCACTGGGGTCTACTGTTAGGATGAAATAAAATAAAATCTGTAAAGAGGCCTCTACTGATACTTGCTCTAGCTCAGCTCAGCTTCTAATTCCTTCAAGGTAATTACCTAAGCATAGGCCTTTCAGTCTTATAATGAGGAGACTGTGAACTCTTCCTCATTTCTGGGAGGCAGTATTATCTGATGTCCATAGGAGGGGCCTGAAAGTATTAGATCAAAATCAGAACTGCCAGGTTCTCTTCCCACGCCCAGGCCCAGGTCTGCAGAGGCATCTTTCATCTTCTGGGCTTTCTTTGCGTCTCAGATCTCCCACCCACCCCATGATGGTAAGTATGTGATCTTTTACTTTCTTTCCCAGGGGCAGTGCAAAACCGCACTTGATAATATCTGACATCGCCAGCTTTGAACTTTACGTAAAGGGAGACCTTGTGGCTATTCAGCTTTTGTGAAGTCAGTTTTTCCCTGCCTCCAACAAATGGTGTGATATGGGTAGAAGCAGGACCCTGGCAAAGTGAGTTGCATATATCCCCCCTTCTATTGGCTTGCCTTGCAATGAGCAGACCTGGTGCCCTGTCCACCCTCCTGCATAATGTAGGAGCCCATGGTAGGAACAGAATACCATCTGCAGTGAGTCTGGCCTCTGCAGGCCATGGACATGTCCAGAGGCCTTGCCAAGGCTGACGTGTCTCTGTTGGCAGGAGCTGAAGAGAGGGAGGGAGTGTTGTCACCTGAAGACTTTCCAGGGCTGAGGTGGGAACTGGTGTCATCTTGGGCCTCAGGATTCTGCAGAGAAGATGGGAGCAGACAAGGGGACAGCCCTAAGCCGGCAGTCTGACCCAGACAGAATCAACAGAGGTGACATGGGGGACAGCTAGATTCCTGTTTTCTGGGCTTGAAGCCCCCTCTGAGAGGCCTGGGGGTGGCAAAGGAGGTGGCTGAGACCCTCTCAGTGTGGTTGAGATGGAGGGGGGATATTTGGGAACTAGGGACACAGACCCTGGCAATTTCTGTGGCTGCCTCATGGTGCAGGAATTCCTGAGGGCAGCAGCTGTGATGGGGTACCTCAGGTTGGAGAACATAGACAAAAGTAGGTATACAGTGGTGCTACTTTCAGGGAAGCATGTCAGGATGCAGTAATCATGGGTGAAGTCTGAGGCCTCTGTGGAGAGGTGTGCTTATGTGAGAGTGTGTATGTGAGCATGTGTACGTATGTAGAACCAAAAAGGTCAGGAATGAAAGTGGGAAGTTGTAGGCCTTAAGAGCCAAGGGAACTAGGGCATCTGAATAACAGTACTTCATTGGTTGGATTCTGTTCATTCACAGTATTAGTAAGTACTCATTGGAGGCCCCCCAAGGCCAAGCCAACTGCTGAGGCTTGGGATATGATGATGAATCAGACGGAGGCACTTGCAGTCTAATTGGGGAGCCAGGCACTGACATGGGGAATTTAAATACCTTGTGATAAGTGCTAGAAGGTATGTACATGGTGTTCAATGCAGCCACCTCTGCCTGAGGCAGCCAGGAAGACCTCCCTGAGGCAAAACTGAGCGGTGGCTCAAAGGATGAGGAAGGAGGAGGGGAGACAGGAAGGGTGTTCTAGGCAGAGGGAACAGCGTCTGCAAAGGAGTCGAGCTGTGAAACCCTATGCACTGGTTCAGAAACCTTGAACAGATCCTATAGTGGAAACTTGAAAGAACTGATGGGGCACAAAACAATCTTATTTGTTTACATGTTACCTGATCCTCTTCCCCCAGTGGAATATAAGCAACTTGAGGGCAGGAAATTGTCTGCCTTATTCTCCACCAGAGTTCCCAAAGCCTAGAGCGGTGCTTGGCATCCTGTGGGATACATTGTGAATGAACAAATGTAAGTTAAGTGGGGCCCAGGGTGGATGGTGTGGACAGTGGGCTAAAGCATTTGAACTGTATCCTGGAATGGGGAGCCTTCGGGCTTTTAAAATAGAAAAGGACCAAGATCTGATGTGGGTGGGAGGGAATCACTCCGACAGTGATGTGAATGTTGAAGAGATCAGATGATGAAACTTAAATTTGGGCACTGTCAATAAAAATGAATGGGGACAGCTTGAAAAAATATTGAGGATAATTCTATGTGATTAACAAGTAGCTCTAAATTTTTCAATATCCCTGGAAGGCAGGAGTTTCCCTGTTTACAAAGGAGAAAACGGAGTCAGTGGGTCACAGTGACTTGGCCCAAGTCACACAGCCATTTGGTGGTTGGTGTAGCCTGGGGGTTCAGTCTTCCCCTTGTAGCCCCGCAGGACCCAGCAGATGATGAGGATCCGACCGAGGCGGGTAACGACAGGAATGCGCCATTTCTACTCGGTAACTACGGGAAAGCCCAGAGGACCGCGACTAAGAAGAGCTGATGGCCGCAGAGGCTCGGGAAGGAGAAGCGAGGCGGGCAGAAGCAGTTTTGGGTCTCGGCGGCCGCCGTAGGAGCGGCGCTCTGATCCCCATGGCAACAACGAACTAGCGGGAGGTTTTTGTGAGGTGCAGCCGCGGCGGATTGGCCCAAGCGCCGAGCAGAATCCGTGAACTGCCCGTGGCCCCGTGGGTGCAGGTGATGGGAATAGTCCTATGGAGGGAGCCTGGGGTTTGGGGACAACGGAGGGTTGTGGCTTGGGTAGGGCTGGGACCTTCGAAGGAGGCGCTGCCCGGAATCCCCGAACCCCACCCCGATCTCCACTGTCCGGACCAGGGACCATCTTTGGGCCTCAGTTTCCCCAAACGGGAAATGGGAGGAGGAGAATGGGCACCCCACCCTAATGGCCCCTCTCAGTTTCTGAGACCCAGGACTTTCTCTCCTCTGTAGCTCCTGAACTGACCGGCGCTGTCCCGCCCCATGGACGTGAGTCCTAGGCCCCTTACCCTTCTCTGGAGCGACCCCCTCAGCGCCCTCAGCTCATCCTGGCTTTGACTGCCTTCAAGCCCGAGCCCGGACTGGAGAGGGGACTCTTTACACAACTTAGACCCTTCCAGCTCAGGACAAGAGTTGTGAGAAATAGAATGCAAGGGCAGTGGCCTTCCCACGGGAGGGCACATTTCACTGTTCCTACAATGATGAGGAGTTGGCCAAGTAGTTGAGAAAAGGCATCCCGACAGGGGACAGGCATGGGCAGATATGTGGGCATGAGAGAGAGGATAGGGCATTTGGGGAACTGCTAGGACTTCAGTATGGCTGGAGTGTAGAGGGAAAGGGAGGGAGAGGAAGGCAGGGCTAGATTGAGGACTTTGTCACTTTGATAAGAAGTTTGGGCTGAGTCAGTGGGAGCCATTGATGGATTGCAAGGGAGGGAGGGCTACACAAGGACAGCTGGTGTGGAAAGGAGCACAACTGCAGGCTGAGGGATGGTAAAGTAGTGCAGTGGAATCAGAGACAATAGATCTGTTTGGAGAGGCATTCCAAAAGGAAGATCAGTAAGTCTTGGAAAAGTCTTGAACAACTAACAGGTCCTTGATGGTGCTAAGATCAGGATGAAAAGGGAAAAAAAAGGTTTGGGGACAAGACAGTGTAGTCCTGTTGACTCTCTCCCCACCACCTGCTGGCTGTTCCTCCCCTTTTCCCAGTCACCTCCAGTGTTCCTCCTGGTATTTCTGTGTTCCTGCAGCCCCTCTCCACCACCTTGTCACCCCTTCCTCCTGTGCTGTCCAGGCCTCCTCTAGCCCGTGGAATCCAACCCCGGCTCCCGTCAGCAGTCCCTCCCTGCTGCTCCCCATCCCCGCCATCGTCATCATCGCTGTGGGCATCTATCTGTTGCTGCTGGGCCTAGTGCTGCTGACTAGGCATTGCCTGCTGGTGAGGGGCCTGGTGGGGACTGCAGGGTGGGCCCTGGGGAAGAAGAACCTGGTCAATTTGTCCCCTCATCTGCAGGCCAGTACCCTGAGACACCTTTGCCATTTAGTCCCCCCCATCTATCCCTTTCCCTCCCTCCTGTCCCCAGCTGAACCTTCTCCTGCCCCTCTCCCAAAAGCCAAGCCTTGGCTGTCCCTACCTGCCGCCTGGTCTAGATCCTGAGCCTTGCGATCTCCTAGGCCCAGGGCTGCACAGACTGCAGTTCCCCCTGCAGGAAGCAAGGCGCCTCCAGGCCCCAAGACTGTTGCTGGACCTGTGCAGAAGCCTGCGACTTCCCTCTGCCCAGCCCAGCCCACTACCTGGATGCCTGCTGCCCCCAGCCCTCCGAAGCTGTGAGTTCTCATCCTGGCCACTGGCCCCTGAGCCCTGATCTTGGTACTATCTGTGCATTCATTTTTTTGGGTTCAACAACATTTATTACTGAGCACCTATTCTAGGCAGGGCACAGTTCCAGGTACTGGGTCCATTGAAGACAGCCAAAAACAACATAACCAACATAAACAACATATCCAATACTTTCTGGTAATGAAAGCTACTTGGAGAAAAGAAAATAGTGTGGCAGCTTGAGAAAGGTAATGTGTGTAACCTGTCGGGCACATAAGCACTTCTGAAAGTGGTAGTTAAAAGAATAAACAGAGCCCCTTACAGAGCTCCTTCTGTTGGCTGAGTGAATACAATGTTCTAGATACTGGGCTACTTTGTTAGCAGCCCCTGAGTATTTTTAAAAGCCTATACATTTTTCTTCCAGATTTCAAAGAGCATTGATTGCAAAGTATGTGTGTAGAAATACATAGAAAGTACAAGTCACTTTACAAACCAGCTCTAACCAAGGTTGCTGTGTTTTGTGTATGCCCCTCATATATAAACATACATACTGTACTATTGCTATCACTGTAATATCAGTTGTATTCTATTATTGATAAAAATGTATTCATACCATATATACCACATATACTATTTCATTACAACTGCTACTTGCCCCTTTTTAACTTGCCATCACACCTTGGCTACCTATCCATGTTTTTAATCCTCCTTTTGCAAGGGAATAAATTAGCTCGGGAAAGTTTAGTCACTTCTCCTGCATTCATTCCACAGTAGAGTCTTGCTTAGCAAATTGCTCCATGGTGTGTTGAAACAGAACCCTCAGGGAGAAGCCTGGCTTGCAGAGGACAGGCCATTTTTGCATTTGTGGCTTTAAAGATGTTAAATGTAATTGACCACCCTCCTAGGCTGTGATTATTTTGGGCTCAGAGATTTAGACAGCAAAGCACCTGCCCTTGAAGTGGGGACCTTCCCTGGGGAGGGAAGAGTGAGGGGAAAAGACCAAGCAGACTCATAATTCAGGCCGACTGCGGTTGCAAATCCCTGCAAGATGTTTTGAGTTTCAAAATAAATTATGGGGCAAGGAGCTCTCCTCTTTCAGATAATCTGCTTCTGGTTTCTCAGGGGAAGCCGGGAGATGGGACCCAGGGCTGAGGGT